ATTACCTTGATGATCAATATCAAGAGTAGAGAAAACTCGTTTCTAAACTTGTGATTCGAATCACTCCACAAGAGGTATGATCAACAACGCTTGAATGATCCTAACATGTAAATTCTAAAGACATAAGAAATTGCACAAGAAATGAGAGATAAAGCTCTCAACCAAACTAATGAAACTCACTTTTCATTAAATTTCAAATTGTGTTTACAACAAGATATCTCAAGGCTATATATAATCATCCTAGCAAGCCATATGGAAGGTCTTAAGAAAATGGAAAGACTCATAACTTACAAGAAATGAAAAGACATGTAAATGTAAAGACATAACCTACAAGAAATGAAAAGGCTTGCAAATGAAAAGTTATAACTTAAATAAATGAAAAGACAAGCAAATGAAAAGGTTAAGAACATGGAGAGTTTAACAAAATAAATTGCAGTCTCGTCCATAATGAATGATGTGAGTGTTTGACTTGGTTTTTGAATTAAATGAGTTGACTTTGACTTGTCTTGTTGAAGTTGATTTTGGCCTTGACCAAGTTGACTTTGACTTGTCTTAAAAACACTTAAAAATGCATAACTTGCACCAAATTGAAGTGAATAGTTCCAACTCCTTGCACATCTTCCTTTATTTCTCTTGTCGAGTTCACGAACGCTTGGACACGAAGTAGTAAAGCTTGTTGAAGTTTCCTAACTCTCAATCTTGTAATCGGTCCATGATGCATAATAAATGGAGCTCCTTGGTTCATATCACTAAGTATTAATTGTGTAAAAATAATTAAAAGCTAGGGAGCTTTTGTTGAGACCTCTAGAAGATATTTTGGGAGGAGTTATTGTATTCCAATTCTTAACATTATTAGTGAATTAGCCACATTTGAGTGGAAGACTGGATGTAGCTCTTAGTGGTGAAAGAATATAATTTGCTGTGTCATTTATTTTGTGTTTTACAGTTTTTCTTCATATTTGCATATTGTAGTTGTGTTTGGATATTTTCGGTAGAACGAGAAATTATACAGAGACCGTTAATTTCCCAAGAATATTAGTGTTATTTTTGTTTTTTTTAGTATAACAATAGTGATGTGCCAAAGACTTAGCGATAATTGACATATATTTCCAACCAAGAGATTGTGAGATCGATCCCCCACACTCACGTGTTGTACTAAAAAAAAGGGTAAAATACACTTTTAGTCCCTAAGTTTGAAGATAAGTTTCTATTTGGTCTTTAAGTTTCAAAAAGTGACACTTTAGTCCTGACCTTTAGAAAATAATTCTAAAAGGTCCTAAAGTTAACATTCCGTTACTATACTAACGGAATGCGACGTGGCATTAATATGCTCGATATTTTTTAATTTTATATTATTTTTTAATTGTGTGTATTTTTTTCCATTTCACTCTCTCCCGTATTCATTAGTCATTCCCTCTTCTCTCCCTCTCTTTTCCCTCTTCTTCCTTGTCGGTCTGGTTCTCTCTTCCCTCCATCTTCGGATCTCCCCATGAGGAGCCCCAAAATGGGGTGAACGCCCTCTCAGCCCATATCACGAATCCGCTGTTGCCCGGGAAGGCGATGGAGAGCTCCGCCGTGATCAGCACCTCCAGGACGGTGGCCAGCGACCTCGAAGTAGATAAGGAAGATTAAGGGGATTAGCATGAACTTCTTTCTAGTTGCGACGGCGGCGGTGATGGGGAGATTTTGAGAAAGGGAAGAGGAAATGGCGGCGGATTAGTCATGGTTGATCTGCAATGTTTGAGATTTGTCCGCCATAATTTTTCAATTATTGTCGAACGGAAATTTGATGAAACAGATTACAGATACATACAGATACAACCAATGAACTAAAAATAGAGCCTTACAAAAATAAAAAATAACAAATTGTTTTTTTTTTTCTTTTTAAAATTTTTTTAGAGAATGAATTATTCTCTTCCCCTCCAGTATGGATTCTGCCCGTTCGAATTGAAGAACGGAAGTCGGAGACCCAGATTCCACCATGGTCAATTGGATTTTCGACTTTGGGGTTGCGGCGGAATGGAAAATTCTGGTGGGGTGGAAGTGGGAGGTAAGGGAAAATTGGTTAATGCGTTGGGGCTTCTGTAATTAGATGAAGAGGGAAGATAGAGAGGGAGAGAAGAGGGAATGAGCAGGGAAGAGAGAGAGAAGGAAAGAAAAATGGAAAAAAATACACATAATTAAAAAATAATATAAAATCAAAAAATATCCAACACATTAATGTCACGTCCGCATTTAATTAATATTAATTTTAAGGATTTTTAGAACAATTTTTTCTAAAAATCGAGACTAAAATGTCATTTTTGAAACTTTATCTTTAAACTTAAGAATAAAAAATGTATTAAAAAGAGAAAAAAAAAGAATTGCGGTGTTGGAACCCTTTATTTTTAAAACTATTGTTTTCAATATTTACAAAAATCAGCAATTCTTTTCCAAAATTCACATTTGAAGCCCCGCCCCACCCCAACGCCCGAACACCTCTCTGCTTCTCAATCCCTATTGTCTCTCTCCCTCGCTCGCGCTACGCCGCCGCTTGTTTCGATCTCCGCCACAGCCGCTCGTTGCTACCGCCACCGTCGCCGCCACCGCCGCGCTCTAATAACATATTCTCGACCCCTCAGTCCTAATATCAAGTAAGTCTTAACATTGTTCAGTTGCTTTTGTTTCCCTCGTCTTCGAATTTGCACCCAAATCCATATTTGTACACGTATATGCGTTTAGCCATTTAGTCAGTACTGATTCTCAACGAGTGGCTTAATAAATTTGAATCGTTTGAATTTCAGAAAATTTTTTGGAACTCCGGAAAATCAATCAGAGGCCATAGAATTGATTGTCCTTGCCCTGAGCGGTAAGGTATGTCAGCTTCCCTTTACTCTACCATTCAGTTTGATTGCCCTTGCCTTGTTTCTCACGATCTCAATGACAAACCGACTAGTGATTCCCTAATCTTCACTGTTTCTCCCCGTCTGATGTATTTTTAGGGCAATTCTCTATAATTTACCGGGTATTTAATTTTTTCCCCATCGATGAAGGAGTTAACTAATTCTCAATCATTTACCCCTGGGCAGACTTGTGAATTTGAAGTAGACTGTAAGCATAATTGTTGGGGTGGAGTGTACTTGAGTAAAGACTATGTGATAGTACTCCAATTAATGTAAACTTGACTATGGAAGCTAAAAAATGAGGATGGTTAACTTAAGTTGCTAAAGTATAACAGGCGATTGAGACAAGTAGAACAGAGAAAGTTGAATTTCATTCTATATGTGAATGTAGCTGATGTAGTCCTATTAGCATATTCTCGGTTAGGCTGTTAGTTAAAGTTTAAAGTTGTTAGCTGTTAGTTAGTTATAAGCCTAACGGCTAGTTTCCAGCTCCCTTCTTATAAATAGGAGCTTTCCTATTCGTTTGTAGGCAACTCTTCGACATTCAAATAAAAATCCCTCTTCGGTTTACAACAGTAGCTGAGGTGAAGAATTCTTTGGTGTACTCGTGTCTCTCGAGAATGAACAGATAATATTAAGTAAACTAGATTTAGGGTGTGTTTGGTAGTTGTCAAAATCACTTCCATTTCTATTGATCATGTTTGGCAAATTAAAAAGTTGATATTAGGAAAGTTTAAAATCACCTTAAATTGATTCTTAAGGTATCACTTTGATGATGATTTTGAAAAATCAATTATACCTAAATCTCTTTTTTCAAAATCACTTATTCTACCATCAGTCCTAAACACACTCATAGCAAGCTCTCAAAAATGAATTCCATATTATTGCATTTTTGTTTTAAAAATTTGCTTACTTTTTACAGCTTTTGGTGGTTCCCCTTTGCACTTTTGGTTTATATTTGATGTCTAAGCCCAATGCATTTTGATGTTTTTTAATGCAACTTTCATATTTCATAGTCAACTGTCATATTTCTTTGCGATTTTGTGGGGAATTTAGTTGGAAAAAGAACGACAGAATTTTTAGGGGGTGGAGTGAGATAGCGAGGCAGTTTGGGATCTCATTAGAGTTAATGTTTCATCATGGGGCTCTGTTTCGAAATTATTTTATAATTATCAGTTAGGTCATAGTCTTTTGGATCGGAAGCCCTTCCTTAGCTAGGGCTTCCCTGCTGGGCTGTTTTTTTGTATGTCCGTGTTTTTGTTCTTTTTTTCATTTATCTTAATGAAAAGTGCAGTTTCCTCTAAAAAAAATATTTCATTTTAAAGTTATGACAACAAAATTTGCTGTAATTTTATCTTTATGGTTGACGGTACAAAAATCACTATACTTGTTGTACTTTTACATAGGGGGTTGTTCCGGCTGTTCAGTTTCTATCTTTCTGGTTTCATATTGCTTGTGTACTAGAACTGTATGGAGATAACTAACTTTCATCGTTGGATGGAAATAATAATTAATATAATAAGATATGCCTTTTATGATATATAAATGGTAGTTGTATGGGCTTCTATTGTGAGCTTCAATGAAGGACATGACTGTAGATACGGTTATATTTTGAAAAAGAGGGCTACTTCCTTAATACATATTTGGGTTAAGCTGAAAGATTGTGATTATTTGACAAAACTTAGAGTTCATAATGTTATTTATGAAGTGGACCGAGAGCATGATGTTAAACTTACTTAGGTAGTGTTACTGAATGAAGGGCTTAATGAAAAATCCTCTTTGATGCTGCTGCTGCTATTTTTTTTTCTTGTTTTCCTCTGTTTCTGTTTCTCTTTCTCCATCTTATTGGCACAGTCTGTTCTCTCTTTGGCAGTTTTGATTCAAATGAGTTCACTTTCATTACTCAGGCCAAGAAAATTTGGGAAGTTCTCCTCAGTTTTGGGCATTTCACATAAAATTTACGAGAATCTTGGCTCATTCTCACCCAAGATCATCAAATCCTTCCTGAATCCATGTGCCCACCAATCGCATACTCAAAGCCTTTGGAAGGTTTTTCCGTTAGGCATATTGTATTCAACTCAATCCTCCAAACTTCCTGAATATGAGATGCCTACAGTCACCTGGGGAGCCGTTCAAGGGCGGAAAGAAAAACTTGTGTCTCGGGTTATAATTTGTGACTACTTAAAAAGTTTGGGTATTGTTCCTGATGAATTAGAACACTTGGAGTTGCCTTCTACAGTTGAAGTCATGAGAGAGCGTGTTGAGTTTCTTCAGAAGTTAGGATTGACAATAGATGACATTAACGAGTTCCCATTAATGCTAGGCTGTAGTGTTCGTAAAAATATAATACCTGTACTAGGTTACTTGGAGAAAATTGGGATTCCGAGGCCAAAACTTGGAGAATTTGTCAAGAATTATCCACAGGTCTTGCATGCCAGTGTCATTGTTGAGCTTGCTCCTGTTGTTAAGCTTCTTCGTGGACTCGATGTCGAGAAACAAGATATTGGATATGTCCTCCAGAAGTATCCTGAGCTTTTGGGTTTTAAGCTTGAAGGGACCATGAGCACATCTGTTGCATATCTTGTAAGTATAGGTGTTATTCCGAGAGATATCGGACCAATGGTCACACAATACCCTTACTTTTTGGGGATGAGAGTTGGAACCATGATCAAGCCTCTTGTTGAGTTTATTGTCTCTCTAGGTTTGCCAAAGAAGATAGTAGCGAAAATGCTCGAGAAGCGAGCATACATACTTGGTTACGATCTTGAAGAGACAGTGAAACCCAATATAGATTGCTTGCTAAGCTTCGGGATTAGAAAGGAGTTGCTTCCTTCAGTGATCGCACAATATCCGCAAATTCTCGGGTTGCCTCTAAAAGCTAAGTTGTCTTCTCAGCAATTCTTCTTCGACCTAAAGCTCAAGATCGACCCTGCAGGGTTCGCACAAGTGATCGAAAAGATGCCACAGATAGTCAGCCTTCATCAACACGTGATAATGAAACCAGTAGAGTTTCTTCTTGGACGTGGAATACCCTCGTTCGATGTTGCTAAGATGGTTACAAAATGTCCCCAGCTGGTTGCTTGTCGTGTAGAACTCATGAAAAACAGTTACTACTTCTTCAAGTCCGAGATGGGTAGGCCAGTGAAAGAGCTTGTCGACTTCCCTGCATATTTTACATACAGTTTGGAATCGAGGATAAAACCGAGGTACCAGAGATTGCAGAGCAAGGGAATCAGATGTTCATTAAATTGGTTTCTCAACTGCAGTGACCAAAGATTTGAGGAGAGATTGAAGGGTGATTACATTGAAACAGAGAGTTTGGGGCCATCATTTTGTATGGGAGGGAGGTTAGAGCTACCAGGGAATGAGATTGTATCAGATGATGAGGAAGATGATAGTGATGAACAACTTCTTCATAGACGCATTGTTTCTCTTTAGAAAACTCCCCCTTTTATTTATTCAATTTTGCTCTTATAATATTCTTTTAAAGTGATCATATTTGGCAAAATAGCTTGGGTTCTTTGGTAACCTGGTATTAAATTTTCATCTCCATGTCGATATTTTCATCGTTGTCCAAAGATTCGACATCCACTCGAGAGATATATTGACAATTTCATGGTATAAAAAAAATCGATAAAATATTAAAAATATCAACATAAGTAGATATAATGTTAATATTAACAATTTTATACTTATTTGAACTGTGAAATGTTTATTTGCTAATTTCAATATTTGTTATGAAATTTCCATTTTTAAATATTTTTTCTTTCAGAATTAACTTAACTGGACATTTAAATCATTTTTTTTCTTTTAAGTGTATTTATTTCCAACATTCATGAATAAAATTTGAAAACTAGAAGAAAAAGAAAAGTAAAATTTCAATTTTTTTATTCTTAAATTTGACAAAACAAATTTTATTTTTGAAGAAAGCGCAGGTGTAAGTAATATTTATAAGTTCAATGGCTTTTGTACTTCTAAAAGGAAAATAATTTTTTTAACTTTATTTAAAAATATATTATTTTCAATATTTACAAAAATTAGCAAGTTTTTATTTTATTTTTTATTTTCAAAATTCACATAATGTCAAATATGCCTTACTATGTCATAAAAGCTTACTAAATGACTAATTATTGAATATGATATAGTGAACTAGGATTTAAAATAGTGTTATTTTAGTATCCAAAACTAGTGAAGTATGGAGATTTGAACTTTCAATTTCGAGAAAAAGAGTAAGCATATTTATGGTTGAGCTATATTCATGTTAGACTCAAAATTAAAATAGTTAAACAAAGAAAAGTAATATGATTATTGAATAGCTACTTTGGACATAGTTCAAGTTAAAATATATATCTTCGACTAAAAGGTTTGAAGTTCGAATTCCCACCCGAATATGTTGAACTCCCAAAAAGAAAAAAAAAAGAAAAAAAAAGGGAAAGATTAGTGAATAAAAATATTGATATAATTAGGTAATCAATGTGCCTTATAATTGATTAGTCAAAATTTGGGCAAGTAACAAATTAAGGTAGTTAATTAATGTCAACTTGAGTTTAGCTTACATTCACTTCACCCCTACATGTTGTGTGTTAAAAAAATAGTAAATTAATGATTTACCAAAATTGATAATTAATGCCAAAAAAAAAAATCGGTATTTATTCAAATATATATATATATTATTTGTAGAATAATTATTGGTCGAGATATTTCTATACATCCAAGAAGTTTGATAATGATATGAGAAATTAAGCAATATTATCCACTACAAGAATTAAGAATTTCGGGGACGACAATTTTCGTCGCTAAAAGGTCAAATTTCGTTTCCGAAAGTCTTTGGCGACGAAAACGTGTCGTCGCCAAAATCGTCGTCGTTGCCCGGTCGCCAGAGGGTTTCGGCGACGATTTGTATTTTTCGTCGCCGAAGCCATCCTTCAGCGACGAAAATATATTTGGTCGCCGAAAATATCTTTGGCGACCAAATACGTAGTCGTCATCGAAGATATCTTCAGCGACGATATTCAATTGGTCGCAGAACACATCTTCGGCGACGACTTAAATTTGGTCGCTGAAGATACCTTTGACAACCAAATCTCTTCTGGTCGTCGAAGACACCTCGGCGACCAAATCCGTTTTCGTCTCTGAAGGTGTTTTTTTTTAATTATTTTTTATTTTTTATTTTTCAACAATAAACCTAAATACCATAGATTGAAAAACATATAAAACTTATAATATTAAATAAAATTTAGTTTTACAAAAAGTACAAGAAGTTCATACAAACAAAAATTAAACAACAAGAAGTTCATACATACAAGAAGTCCCAAAATAAAAAACCTAAACATAATGACCCTATATGATCAACTTCTTCACGAGAGATAATCAATTTTCAGAAGCTTTCGATATAGAAATCAAACGAACCTGAAAAAATAAATAACAAATATACGTGTTAACAAATACTTCTACAAGTTAACTTACCGCTTCTATTCAAACAAACTTCCAATTCTAACTCATTCCACATAACAAACTAATTGCACATGTCATGAACTAAAAATGTTATTCTCACTTCATATGCATGAACTCAAAGTACGCATTAAAAGTTAACTCATTAAAACAACTTTCAAATTCACAAAAACTTACTCTCACTAAGTCTAAGAAAAAATTCACAAAAACTTACTCTCACTAAGTCTAAGAAACATGCACACAAACTCTATCACAATTCACTTAAAAATCAACAACGTTATCCAAAAACACTTAATAACTCAAYACTTCAAACAAACTCACCACTYCCATTCAAACAAACYTYCAATTCTAACTCATTCCACATKTCAAACAAAAMATTCAAGTTTTGCACATGCCATGAACCAAAAATGTTATTCAAGCTTTGCATGCATGAACTCAAAGTAAGTAGTAAAAGTTAACAAAAACTCATGAAAACAACTTTCAAATTCACAAAGCTTACTCTCACTAATTCTAAAAAACATTCACACAAACTCTATCACAATTCACTTAAAATTCAACAACGTTATCCAAAAACACTTAATAAG